TGTTAATCTGTACGCACCGCCATCTATTGATGAATAGAATTTTTATCAATTCTTTAAATTTTTGTTTTAGCCAGAACCACCTCCCAGACGTGCCGATTCTGAAAATATCTTTAGTTTTCCTCTAGGCTGCGGAGTTCTCTAGTTATGCGAGTACGGACTAATTCGGCTGAACAACTTTATATCAAGAGCTAATAATACCTAAAGTGTACAACGGAAAAACGGGAAAATAGTGCTATTTCATGACAACATTATTCTACTTTGCCTGCGAGTCTAGAATAATTTTATGGTATTGCATTAAGCAGAATTCTTTGCTCTCTAAAACAAGACCAACCGCTTGTCAATACGATACTCCTAGGCTGAGATATTGGCTCCTAAACCTCCCCTCCCACTTGCTTCACGCCGCCTCGCATCCCGGTTATTCACCTACCTACACGCCCCTAAGCATTGCTTCGTGAAAGTTCGGTTTTTCCGCGATAACTTTATGAATGAACGGCGTTTCGGTTATCATAGGTGACTTTCGGGGGCATCGCCTATGCCCTTATCTCCCATTATCTTTCCTAGCACGGCTAATGCCCGTCATGATGGAGCCGGCAATGTTTTCTAAATTAAGTCTACAACGCAGCGCAGTTACTATATGGTGTAGTGAGAGTACCAAATTTGGGCATGTGTCATCAATTATCAGCGCTCCAAGCGGTGACTGAAACCGATAGCCAAAATGCTTAGGGACCGAATATCGTGACCGTACGTCGAGCGGTTAAGATTTGTGCCCAACTGTTGACGGACGGACGGACGGACGGATGCACGGACGGCCGGACGATCATGCGATTCTACAAGCTGCACCTGACTAAGTCAGATGAGCTAAAAATTTAAACCCAAATGAATCAATTACCATTATCCTACGCAATTAAATAACTATAGTTAGAATGAACTCTAAATAGATACATACAGTGATGGGTGGGTTTGCATCTGGAACAGAAGACCCTGACTGTGTCGTGATCTAAAAAACAAACATTTTGATATTGAGTGAGCAGCAGCTAACTGTTATGAAGCACTAGATAGTAATATACGTATCTTTTGACTTTTCAGGTCATCAGAACATCCGGCGAGATATATATTAAAAATACAAATCATTTTTCACATACACCAGCAACATGAATGAAATTTTTGATCTATAAATACACATGAAAATTAAGGTGGGGGGTGTAAATTTATCACGTCTCAACAAGACATTATGACCAATCCAGAGAGACATGATACAAGATTGCGTGGCACAGCTTTGCTGTTGATCCTAAGCGCTGCGCGCGGATGAGACACACAGTTCCGCAGGATATGCGCACGCGACCGCGGGGATATTCAAGTATGAAGCGCTGTCCGCAGTGGAGACATGCGCCAAATTTGAGGCCCGGCGCACGTCTCCACAGCGGTCAGCAGATGGTCTGTAGTTTTAGAAGATCACAATGATTATATATGGACGATATTCTAGGAATTGGAGATTATAAAACAGTAACAAAAATCGCTCAGTCATGCTCCAGATTAGCTGAAACAAAAAGATTTGAATTTAATATGAACAAAACAAATAGAATGGTTATAAAATTCACCAACAAAGAAAGAATAGAGAAGGAGATATTAATAGGCAACCAAGTAATCAAAAAATGCACCAAATATTCATATCTAGGGGATTTAATTAATGATATAGGAGGTTATAACGATATAAGAGCCCGAACTTAAAAATGTAGGTTCATGATGAGGGATATATATTATCATGGGCAGAAGAGCAAAATTATGGAAATCATACTATAGAAGCAAGAGTGAAATTATACGAATGCGCAGTTTTACCTTCCTTCCTAAATAACAGTGAAACATGGACTTAAGGAAGAAGTAAAAATGTTGGAGGATTTCCAAAATGAGTGCCTGCGCAAAATAATAATCACGCAGAAATTGCAGAAAAATCTACCGAAAGGCATTGAAAGACGATGAAAACGCCAAGGAAAGATACGGAGAAATCAGTAAAAATAACATATATAGTTTCTATACGTAAATCGTGGTAAATGCATTAAAAACACATTATTTTATTGAAAATCCCCATATTTACTTATAAAACATCCAAGAGATGGCGCTGTGGCATGTAAACATTGCCAAATGCATGGGCCTAGACTGGTACCCGGTCGACAGTTCCACACGCTACACTAACAGCGTCAGTGTAGCAAAAGACACTACCAGTCTAGCATCGGCCGGGCATTTCATTATTTACGAAAAGTAAACACAGTAGACCAGGAACTGGTCACATCGGTGACGCCCCATTCATGCCCATCATCGAAGGAGGGGCTTATTCTGATTACGGAGATTTCAGAAATTCAACAGAAGGACGTAGCGCAGTGCGCTAAACAGCGTGTTATTTTTGTTTTTGTGCCAAACTCTATCATAGGAAACCGTTCTAGCCTAGCAGAATGCCCTAGTTCCTGAGATTCGGTGCTGTTATGGGTCCCCACCTATAAAAATATCTAAAGGGAGGTGCGGCATAGACTGTGATTGGAAGACACAAAGTGTCAATCCTCGGCGCGCCTCGGCATCATGGCTGCATCACGTCTAGCTCTTGCTATTTAGGTAGGACTTGTGGAGAGAGTAGTAACACATATTCAGATGTGACTGGCATGCTCACCCCACCTGTTCCCAGCCTGTCTTTGAAATATTATTGCACACGTACACTCGCACTTTACTTACAGATCCCTTCAGACTGGGTGTCTTTCCTGGCTCCACTTTCCCAACCTCCCAAGACATGTTCTTGCTGTGTGGATCGAATGTGTATTTCCCTTGACTTGGATGGAGGCTGATGTTTAGAACACTTTTTGGCATTGTCATCTCTAAGACGACATTTTCCACCTACAATCACATTAGGCCAACAAACCATATAAACACACCAATGTATGCTGAGCAGGAAATCTCCAATTAGTTGCTTAAACATTATGAAACTCCCAGTTTTTAGCTGCAGTAGAATAAGCCATGCATTGATGAGAAACTGTGATCAAGTGACAGGTTCACAAAAAAGGTTCCATCCAAGCTTCATTATTTCTTGCTAATTTCAACATGCTTAGCAACTATGAGTTAAAAATGTTATGATAAATGAGCAAAGATGTTAACATTATAACTCACCATTTTTCCCATAGTCTGTTTTGGGCCAACATTTAGCTCTAGTCTTCCCGAGCCACTCTCTCTAAATGAGATGTTGTGTTTGATATAAAGTGGTATTGCCACAATTCTGAAATAATAACACCAACATTTACAAGTATGGGAAATAAAACAACAGCTGGTTTGCACTACTTAAACAGTCATTAATGTAAATTTTATCCACACAAAGGCATCGTATACTCAAACCACCACCCCACCGACACTTACATTCCTATAATCACAGCATGAATTTAAACTGTATCGTAACTAACATGTTAGAAATCCAGCATATGCTGGTTACGCATCCCAAGTTGGTTGCAAGTACACTCCTCCTGTTTCGCATATTTATCATACCATCAACATCACTTGTGGGCAATAGTAGAAATACAAGTATACTGAACAGTATTAGCCCAGCCAGCGCTTGCGTACACGCTTACCCTTGAGAACCTATGTGATAGGACATCAGCCTAAAGTTGCCGTCTGGTGGTACGAACGAAAGTACGCGCTCTGCCTCCCAGCGCTTGAATCGGACACATGGATGAAAGCTGACATCATCTAACAGTCGTGGATTCATGAAGGATAGTGTCAGATCTGGCATGCCAGTCAACTTCACACAGCAGTCCACCTACAATAGACAACAGCAATTGTTATGCCACAGTGGCAGATAACCTTCTATGTAAAATAATGCTGTATGTCACCAGAGTCCTTGCACAACTTTGCCCAAGTGAATACTATAACTGGGCAATGTGATTAAGTACTTTATTCATGCCAGCTTATTTCAAAGATTAGTAACTCCACTCACATATCCCTGTATTTCAGCAAAGACTGTGGCACCATTTCTGTCTATAATGGCATCTACTTCTTCTATAACGTCAAAGTATGCCTCGTTGTTGGTGTACTTTACTCCAGTGCGCCTCCATGGAATGTTAGACAACTGCCCAGTTGGAAGGGTCTCACTGACACTGAAACGTAATAGAAATATCATATCGCAGTGTGTATCACAGATTCCATATAGGAATGAAGAATAGAATAAAAGAACCTCTTATGAAATGAAGGTGATGGAGGCTACCTATTAGTCTTGTTTTATAGATCTCAGTTCAACCCATACATGTTATTGTTAATGGCATAATGTTGACAGTGGTGTCACGCATAACAGATGACAGGCCAGTGGCCAAAATAATAAGATTTGTGCCTGCACACTGTCTGACGTCCATCAAAAACTTACTTCGACTTTCCCGTTACTGTATTAGCAATTGTTCTAAGAATGTTAGGTGGTTTGATAAGTTCCTTCAGGACGTTAGACTCTGTCGCCAGTGGGAAGCCATTATCGAGCATCTCGTCCAAAAGCTAATAAAATAAAAAGGTTCATAAGCAACAATTCACTATCACCTGTGATCGTGTGAGAATGAGTATGACCTAAATTAATGCTGAGATGCAATTTGCATTCAGCCAAACAAGCATTTCAGGGTATTCAGAGATGTAATCGCAGTTACTTAAAGGCTGCAATATCCCTATTACACACACTTCAATTGTAGACAATCTCAACTGTTTATATACATGCAGACTAATCAATGCAAGCAACTTAGGCAAGTTATGGTAGATGGCTGCTGCAGAGGTATATGGTAGATCACTGCAATGCATGACACTATGTGTACAAATAGGTCAATGCACACCTCGTAAACAATAACATAATGCTCCTTCAAAATGGACTCTGTGCACTCTGAGAAGTAGTCTATGAAGGTATCAACGACTCTGTGCAGAAATTCTAACACAAAGAGTGGCGATACTGAAACAGAGAAACAGCACTGCAAGAAATTTCATCACCAACATACATGGTAGCAATATGTTGTTCTGTATTCAGGAATAATAGCAATACACATTTTTGTAATGTATGTGGTAGGAATATACAAGAAAGCTATACTTCGACGGTAATTAGACATACAAAGGACTTTATAAATGAAACACTAAAAGTGAAGACTTGTGCAAAGACTTGAATATACAGAATTTGCCAAGGTACTACTGATGCAGACAAAATGTGTCATATATTAATTATACCTTCCGTCATGACAACAGCAACAAAATACAGTTGACATTTATATATGCTTATTAGGTAGTGGTGAGGTGTGGGAATCACTGGTGGAATGTCATCTTTAGTTTGTACCTGTAAAAGAATATGAACATCAGAAATATATATATATAGCAGCTGTTTCCAGGGATTAGGTAATTAGGCCATCCTTCGTCCTTACAGGATTTCATGTTTGGTGTAACACTTAGCCAGAAGTTTTGAATTTCTATGAATATTTTCCTAGGTACTGACTACACCTGCAATGCTAGCTCAGGTTACTACAAACAAGAAATTGCTAAAGGGTGGCAATACACATTTGCCAAAACACTGGCACAATCCATGTCAATTCATTTATACTGACAGTTGTTCATAGCCAGTCCTGATAAATACAATAATCAGCTCTACCTTGTTATATTAAATGAGCATATGAGACTTTGACTTTTCATAGTTTATTCAATAATAATATCCCTATTTAATACCATAAAATGACAGTATTTTCCTACATTTCGTTGGGCATCGAAGAAATAGTCACAGATCGACCTTGGTATGACACTCTTCCAATGCTTTTCCATGAAGACATCCCTTTAACATTTAAAAAAAAAGTGGTGATAAATCAGTTATTAACTAGTGCCATTGGGTATCAGTGCTCATCCAACAGGTATGTGATATGCTGTTGCTGCTATGTCATTATGACTAGGAATGTCATAGTAGTGATATATATATATATATATGAGTATAGCATAATATAGTATAGTACGACATTCCTGGTACTACTACATTACCCACCACCACTTATGCTTCTTTTGTTGATGATAGCGCCACAACGATGACCACTTGGACTGCTATTGCTTTTGCCATTACTGTTACTACTGGTTCTAATGTACCCTGTAATACTGCTGCTTATTGCTGTATATGTAGGGGTGGGCACCGCTGGTATGAGGGAGCGACAGCAAAACTTTCCCAGAATCGAGGAAAAAGCTGCAATCGGGAATGACACAGGAGTTTGCCGGCACGCAAAAAGAAATATTGCTGTAAATTTCATTACGATTTTCCATGTATATATAGTCAGAAGCATGTGGTAATCTATTTATTTTTGGATTGACACTATTTTGACAACGGCGGGTAAATATAGGAACATTTTCACAACGGCATTGTTAAATTTGACAACGGCGGTGCGCCGCAGTGCCTCCTATGTAAAAGAAACCCTGCATATATATACCTCAGGGTTCTCCCCAGGATGAAATTCAAACAGGGGGGAGGAGAGGGGAAGGGGGAGGGGGGGGGAAACTAGGGGGCGTGTTTTTCACCGTACCACTAATTAATGCGTAAAATCGCCACCACACCATAGGACGGTATTGGGGTGGGTCTTGATATATAAGATAGCCGAGTCGGTGTACAGTTAGTGTTGGTGTGGGACAGGTTGACTGTTGTATTGTCTGCCAGTGCATGCGTGGTACTGTAAAAATACACGCGCCGGGTATCCTGGTCGAATGTGTACTCTTGACGATCGATTCCCGCGCTGGCAAACTTTTATTGTGGTGGAATTTAATCGGGGCGGAAGGATGTATACGGGGCGCAACGATTGAAAACAGGGTGAGGTTTTCCAAACGGGGCGCGGCGCCCGTTTGCGCAACGTAGGGAGAACCCTGTACCTACGATGAGCTTGCATATGTTGCAAAAACAACTCATTTGTATTGCTACTTTCATAACATTTCTTCTCAAAATCTAAACGAAATTACTTCTCTTACGAACGTAGCACCACATGCAGTGATGTTTACACATCCAAGACACAGTGGAGTGATCTACTTGATTCAGTAACAGTTCCTTTCTATTATAAAACAAGTTATAATTCATTATTCGATGTTTATTCAGTACAAAATTGTGAAATTTGTTTAAATCATATATAGTTATCTATATTACTTAAATGCAACCAGGAAACAAATATAGTGTTTTCGTTCCAGGAACTATTTGCGCTATGGCGTATGAATACTATTTTGCATTATCTGGCACTTCGTACAAATAACTTGCGTCTGACCTAAGGTTTCAAAATAGTCAACTTCGGAGCACATTTCTGGCTCAATGAGAACATTTCGTGATGTTTGCACACTGCAAGTATGCTCACAGTACAGTAGGTCTATGTAGGCCTTTTGTTGTGAGGTCTATCCGTTTATAAAAAATTCTTGCAAAATTTTTTTATCAACAGAGAATGTTACTTAATTATTTGTCCAACAGTTCCTGTTGCAAAGGTGTACTGATTTTTGGAAGCACTGAATTTACTAGACATGATTTACAGATCCCTTGTTCGAATTTCACATGAATTTTCAATGGAAAGATGTACAAATGTCCCCCGCGCAACAATGGTGCAGAACATAAAATTAACAGATGGCGCCATCTTTAGGAATTTTTTTTCTTCATAAAAGTGAACTAAACGAATAGCTGAGTTTGGCAAGCATAACAAGTTCATTTAGCCCTGTGTATATCTGTGAACACTACTACAGTAATTACTCCAGCTTCACAGGTAGAATACCTTCAACGTGGATAAAGGGTTTTAGGGTTGAAATTAGTGTTGTCAATCGGTTGTAATTTCGTAATCGATCATCGGTTGGACCCAAGTATCCAATGATCGGTTACAATCGGTTACTCGGGGTGTTGAATGCCTGCGTGTGTGTAACGTCGTGTGCATGTACGTGTATGCATATATGTGCTTGTTTAGCCCTGTTTACTGTTTGTTTTGCACTGTTTACTACGGTGTGTATAATACATGTATGTTAATAAAGGATAACTTGTATAGTAGCGATGATATCTCTATTTCTCATCACTTTTTCAAATTTTTTTTTTTCTAATATTTTTTTTTTCGATGAAATTGATTATGGATTTTGATAACCAAGCGTTTGGTTCGAGCCACTGTTCAACCAATGATCGAGTATAATCGAAGATCGTGACATCACTAGTTGAAATACATACTTGATTCTTGAGTATTAATGTAGATAACAGGGGCATGATAACTAACCCATTTTGCCTGGATGCAAAACCACATGCAGAAATTGTTCTTTCTGGGAAGGTGGCTATAGCCATAGCCTATGTGATTGTAAAGGAAAAACTTTCTACACATCTTGGGGTGGGGTGCCTAATGCTAATAAAGGTTTTGGGGTTGATATACATACTTGATTTTTGAGTATTAATGTAGGTGTTGTAACCAAACTTAGAATCTGCACAATCTCGAGATTGTGCAACGATTGTGCTGCCCAAACTGCGGATTCCCTAGTTTGGCTGACCAATCTCAAGATTGTGCAAACTGAAAACAGTCGGTGATTCAACAACCGCTCATAGCGAGTGTGTGGTGCAAACTAGGAAGGATTTATCTCATATTTATCCAATTATTTATTATTTATACAAAGGTGCCAAACACATTGAGGAAAGAAGGTATACGACCTTATAAGTTATAGTTATAATATAAAATTTGAAATCCTAATAATCATATGTTTGTGCAAGCTCTGTTTACCTCTGTTTGCCCAATCTCAAGGTTGGTTGCCCAAACTGCAGATGCGCCCATGCAGATAAACCCATTTTGCCTGGGAAGAGCTTAGCTCTAGTAGTAGTACTATAGCCCGCGTTCATTTCTTGCCGTCTATAGACACTGCACATAGCACACACTTGCCGTCCATAGACACACTGACATGCCGTCTATCTATGGAGACAATTGCCCATGCACCTATGCCTACAAGGTCCTAAACTAGTATTGACTGACTGTGTTGTTAGCAGGCAGATGGTATAATTTTAAAATAATACAAAGACTAAAAAGTCTGATAATAAAGACTGTAAAGTCCCACGTCAAAATGTCAATATGATGAGTGGCAGAGTGCATATTGTCTATTGATACTGATTTTCATTCAAGAAACCATCGACGTTCATTGACACTATACATACAACAGTTACTAACCCGCCAGAGTTGATAATGAATAAGCTATGTATCATCGTTTTAGATGATAAAACACAGCTTCAAGTCCACGAGTTACTAATTATAACGCATATATATAAATTCTGCTTTCGGAAATGACAACAGAAGCGATGGACACTTGTTTAATTTTTGGCGAAGGAATATGGGACCGATCGATCCGCTTTTTCGTATTTACCAACCGCGGTAAAAACAAAATCAAGAGTGAGGCAAGTAGTGAAGTACCGTCAGTTTCAAAAACTAACTTAATTTTTAATAGAAGGTCAACTCACAGAAAATGTTAATACGCTATAATAATTTACATAGGTCTGGGCTTCTGATTTACCATAATTTGCGATCTTTAAACGATTCACAGTGGCGGTTCTTTGTCGGTATCAAACGAGTACGGTGTAGCGGAACACAAACAGTAACACTAACACTCACTAACAGTAACACTCAGTAACAGTAACACTACTATTACTAACACTAACACTAACAGTAACACTAACACTCAGTCACAGTAACACTAAGACTAACACTCAGTAACAGTAACACTAACACTCAGTAACAGTAACACTAACACTCAGTA